GCGCGACGGCGCGTCGGGGGGGTGGGCGCCGATCACGCGGGAGCGGGCGGCGTTTTTTTTACCACAGCAGGGACGGAGGGGCCGTGGCTGCTTTGCCTCGTCGTCGGCACGGGGGGGGCAGCAATATAAGGCGCGCGGAGGTGGCGCGCAAACCCAGCACGGACGGAGGGGCCGTGGCTGTTCTGCCTCGTCATAGGAGCGGGGGGAGTAGCATATTAAGTCGCGCGGAGGTGGCGCGCAACCATCAGCCGGAGGTGGGTGGTGGAACGGGGCACAGCTAAGTGGGTGTCATCAAAGTCGCGTGGGGAGGTGCCGCGCGCATTTCATCAGCCGGGAACGAGCGGTGGAGACAAGAATGCGTCAGGATGGACGTGAGGAATTAAAGGCGTGCTTCGCCATCAAGATGTGTTGGTGGAGTAGTTGGAATAAGCTTGGATTTTGTTGTCTTGTTTTGTGTGGAGGTACCAGTTTGAGGTCGTGATGAAATCAAGCAACTTGTATTCGAGGAAATTCTGTTCACTGTTGCGTGTTTCTTTCCGCCGTCATTTGCGCGTTGTCTTGCACCCAAATCGTGGTTGTTCTGAATGTTTGTGTTCGTCGTTATGCCATTAGTGCATCCTTCGCCGGTGACGTTGTGTTGCTGGTGATGATGGCAAAGTGTCGGGGGGTAGAGACGTTCACGTTGGTAGAATTTGCCACCATCACTCATGTGTGGGGGCTACGCGGTTATATGTGACCCACGGCCTAAGTAGGAGGCGCAACAAGTGTTTTGTTTACCTGAGTTGTTGCAGAACAAGGGAGGGTGGAAACGGGCGTGTTTCTTTTGAGAATGTTACGCTTGAAGAGTACGCCCGGTCTTGGTATTATGCAACTTGACAGGTTGGTGTGTCGGGCAGGTATGCAGTTGTTAGTGGAAGTCGATTTTGTTTTCACGTACGGAAGCATGTTGGTTGTGTCTGTTTTGGGAAGCGACATCTAGGTGATGGCCATGTGCGTGCTCCTCTGGGCGCCGGTGTTGTGCAAGGGAGGGCACTAGGCTTAGGTTCCTGGTGTGCTTGCCTATAATGCAGACAGCGTAGATGCTTGGGGTTCGTAGGACAGCGTTACCTAGTTGTGGGGGGGGCGTTTGTGTTTTGCGTAGTTGTGCTTGAAGGTTCAGTAGCAAGTTGATGTATCCTTGATTGAAGGAGAACTGAGGATTGATTTGGTAATTTGCAGATGGTGGACCTTGTTTGAAGCAGGCTACATTCGGCAGGTTGTATAATTCTCAAAAGCGGGCATCCTTTGGAGAATCGAGTTTGATTGGTTTTTCAGTTGGAAACAGGTCATGATTTTGAGTTCGTGTAGGATTGCAGATGGTTGAACCGAAGGCAGGGAGAACGTACCTGTTCGATGCAGTTTTGTCGTTGTGTTTCGGTTTTTCGGACGTATGTTCGACGCACTAGAGGTTCTTCACTGGCGTAAAGAACCAGGCAGGGTGTTCGTGCGTAGAAGTAGATAGTCGAAAAGTAGCCGTTACGTAGGACGCAGCTGGGATAACTTGAAGGGTATGTGCTGAGAGGCTTTGGATGATAGTGCGGAGTCCCCGTGTTCTCTCGAGAATTGGGGCCTCTCCTCCTTCTCCCTCTCACCTCTCTCATGCGAGCTAATACACACAGTTAAACAGCAGCCCCAAGTCCGCCGGCCCTTAACAGGGCTAGGGCTCACGAACACGGGTGACGACTCAATACCTTGCAGTAGCCTATCTGCGATGCTGTGCATGCAAGGTGCGAGACACGCTGCTTTCCAGGCAGCAACGCAGCAACCCAGCACGCTCAATTCATTGTTTTGCGGACTAGTACTCGAACGGATCTGCCACGACCTTAAATCAACAGCGGAGGAACATGCTCGCCTCTGCTACAACCTCCGACGATCGGCACCAAACAGTATTGACACGTATGAATATTGGTAGCTCACACGATTGCACTTGTAGTGCTGCTGCTTTGCTGAATTGGAAATCGCTCCCATCTATCTTACTTACTTCTATTCGGCAGTGCATGCATAAGCCGGTCGCCCCGGTGATCTAGTTGGTATCCTCGAAACCTTCTAGAGGTCAGGTCAGGGGTTGGAATCCCGGCGTAAGCGAGCTTTTCTTGGAAAGTGAGTTTTGTCTCGCTTCCGCTCCTGGCCTAGTGACTAGCGCTAAATAGTTCCACAGAGGGAAGAGAACACTGAACTCTTCTCGCATTAAAGATTGAAGGCAACGTACCGCAGGAGGGGAGGGTAGAGAGGGGGCGTTCTGTGTGACCACGGGGTGGAGTAAACGGCACTAGTGCTGTGAGCGCTGAGGTAAGGAAGTGAAGACAATAAAGAACAAATACATGCCGGAAAAACGCCATGGATTTTGCGCTGGGAACCAAAAAGATTGTTTGCCCCTTGGGCATATAGCAGTTTTGTTTTGGGTCGCCCATCCTGACACACGAAAGCAACAGAAATAACAAAGGAATCCGCCACGAGCTGTGTCCATGCTCCGTCTTGTGTGGAGATCAGCACCGACGAGGAGGCTGTAGTACGCTCAGAACGCGAGCGTTCGGCACAACAGCCTGCAAAAAAAACGCCGCTTCGGTCTCTCTCTGTTGGGATCATTAGAGCTCGTTTGTAGTTTTTTGCCCCAGGCGCGAAGGTTTGGTTTTCCGATTATCCCTGTTCCCACACGACAAAGCAACAGCAGTGGCGATGATATCCGCCGCGAGCTGTGTTTGTGGCTCCCTTCCCTCCCAGCGGTGTTGCGTGTTTAACTTACTGAGTGCTTCCTCTGTTTCCCTCGGGATGGTGACCGAGAATTAGACCCGTGTTGTAAACGAGGGCAAATATTCCAAAATATTTTCCCAAGCCTCAAATAATTGGAACCTGTACGTTGGCGTTCTTCCAAGAATTCCCAAAAATTTGGAACGAAGTCGGGCCCGAAAATTTGGCGCCAGTAGCTTCCAAAATTCGGAAGCCTTTGTGGAGCACTTTCCGAATCACCCCTCCCTACAGATGCACGCGCGGGCTGCGACGTCCGCAACACGAGTGCCCCTCGCCATAGGAAGCCAGCTAGGGTTGTGTTGGGGGCATGGGTGACCATAGAAAGCGCGGTGCGCCTACAGAATCGAGTGGCTCCCTTCGTCCACGGGCACGCGCTCGGCCAACACACNTTTGGAACGAAGTCGGGCCCGAAAATTTGGCGCCAGTAGCTTCCAAAATTCGGAAGCCTTTGTGGAGCACTTTCCGAATCACCCCTCCCTACAGATGCACGCGCGGGCTGCGACGTCCGCAACACGAGTGCCCCTCGCCATAGGAAGCCAGCTAGGGTTGTGTTGGGGGCATGGGTGACCATAGAAAGCGCGGTGCGCCTACAGAATCGAGTGGCTCCCTTCGCCCACGGGCACGCGCTCGGCCAACACACACCCAGGATGTCCTCAACAAGCTCAAGGCAATAGCGGCGATTGTGCTGGTGGTGACTGTCGCCACATCGACTGTCATGCAGCGCCTGGCACCCAAGGCGCGGCAACCTATCCACGAGCCGCGACGCCTGGATTGGGACGAGCACTTGAAAGACGTGAGGCGCAGGAAGCTGTTCCGACGCATGTACAGGATGGAGGTATTCGATATACTCGTAGCATAGCATGCGGGTGGTAGTATATTGCGTATACATATGCGGGTATTGCAGTGACGAACTACGGAGGGACAAGAAGTTTCTTTATGTTTTCCTCGGGAGTGTGGTAGATTGGTGGAGATTCATGAAGATTCGTTTTGGGTGTTTGAGCTTTTATGCGTGACTTGATGCCGTGATGGAATGACGAGCTCAAGCACGCCCCCGATTGAAAGAGAGAGTACGGTTGTCACGAACGAGATAACTGAACGTGTGAGGGGTCATCAAGCCACCACCAGCACGTATGAGGGGATGTTATGCTTCCAAGAGTATAGTTGCCAATCGTGCAACGAAAAGAGTATGAGGGGTTTTACACAATAGCAAAGCGTGGACATCATTACGCATTTGAAGGACAGTCAGAATTCTTAACGCAAGCACGTAGGATTTTATGGCAAGTTTGAAGGAGATGTCGGGTAGAATTTCGCTGGAGAGAACAGCAATATGCGTGGCAAGACCTCGGCGAAAAGCGAGACTCGACCCAAGACTGACGTTTTTCGACTAGATCGCAGAGAAAAATAGTCAGAGGCATCACTCAGCCAAGAAGCGAGGTTGACCCAGAAACTTAATTCTCGACTAGATCGTAGAGGACAGTAGTAAGAGCCAGTACTCAGCATGACGCGGAGCAAGATCCACCAAATGCGTTCCTGAGAAGAAATTACTCAAGACCATTTCTTCAGTGGCAGTACACGAACTTTGAAGTTACACGGCGTGAGCAGAAGAGAAATTTTGGATGTCCAACTGTATTTTATTTTGTTTTGGTACAGCANAAAAATAGTCCGAGGCATCACTCAGCCAAGAAGCGAGGTTGACCCAGAAACTAAATTCCCGACTAGATCGTAGAGGACAGCAATAAGAGGCAGTACTCAGCATGACGCGGAGCAAGATCCACCAAATGCGTTCCTCCGAAGAGATCACTCAAGACCATTTCGGTGGCACAACACGAACTTTGAAGTTTCACGGCGTGAGCAGAAGAGAAATTTTGGATGTCCAACTGTATTTTATTTTGTTTTGGTACAGCAGTCACCCCCGTTCAGAACCGGAGGGAGTGTTGTGGAAGCTGATTCTCCTCAGGAGTGCTGTTTTATAAGGAACTGATTGTGCCACCATCTTCCCTTCCGAACGCGCGACCTGCCCTCCACCGCTGCCGAGTCAATCCTTCTGGAGCGACAATTGTGGTCTCCCCCAACGAAGGCGGACGATTTACGGACGATGCTCCAGCC